TGTAATTTTCCATCACATGTTTAAGCATTATTTCTGAATTATTTTGGGGTTCCCAACAGTTTTCAGAAAGCTTGACACACCAGAAATGTTTTATTATAAGTTTCTGCCTTCTAAATGTGAAAATAGCAACGGCAGTCAGGCAAAAACTGTTTAGCAGACCACATGTATGAAAGTCTGATTTCAACTGTAACATGAAGCAAATGGAAATGTCTTAAAAACCTGTGATAGCACCAAGTCTGCCCTGGAGTGATTAATTTTAGCTTGGGTAAAGGGTTAATGATTTTCATATGAATAATATGAGACAAAAATACATAGATCTGACTTTAAGATAAAGCTCATCTATAACAGAGTCTTTTGACTTGTCCAATAATTTAACCATAAAAGCTTTACAATTTTACTCCAAATGCTTGTTCACTCAGAATCCGTTATTCACATCTTGTGCCAGGCTCCAGAGATTGTGAACTTGAGACAAGGTGTCGTTACCTCAATACCTTCCATCAGGACAGGAGTTGCAAGTGGAAGGCAATCAGTATCCCAACATCCTTTGCTCCTCTCCTTTTCCCTCCTGCACCTCTGTTCATGCAAGCAGAGAGAGTTAGGCTGGTGGAGTCGTGATGCCCATCTCAATGAGGCAGGGAAAACAAAGGGAGGTGGAGCACAGCAGTAAAAACAGAAGGCTACTACACAAGAGTCAGAGGAGCCAGATCCTCCCCTTACTCTTGTGGGTGCATGTTAAATTCAGTGGAGTCTCAAGATTAAGCTTCCTACGTGTTCCTTGGCAGGTTAGAAAGTTGCCTCATTTGGCACTTTAAGGTCCACCTTAGAAGAAACCTTGTGGGTTTGTGTGACATTGGCAACAGGTAGTAACTACTGCAAGTTTGTGTAATGAATTTTAGCTCTTGGCAGACTCTGTGGGGGCCTTCTGGATTTATAGGGAATCATCTCACTGCCAGTGATTGGGAGCAAATGTGTTCATTACCATAGTAGCCCACTTTGAGTCAAAGAGCAATTCAGGAATTAAAAACGCAGAAGCAAGCAATGACTTTCAGCCAGCTTTATTAAAACAGTTCAGACAGCACTGAATGGATCATTGCTTCAGATGAGATGTGGACTTTTCAAACAGGATCACTTTACCACTTGACACCAGGAGCCTCTGGCTGGAGGGGACCTTCTCTACTGCAGCTCTTCCTGCAAGAGCAAACGTTAAGATTTCTGCGACATTTGACTTTTAGACAATGACCGTTTCATCTGCATTTATGAGACTGGAGATCAAACTACAGTGTTATTTATTTAAAGAAGCCACAAAGCCAATTTTCCCCATAAAAGTGACCAAGTCCTTCTTTAAAGCAAATCAGCCTCCAATGTGACCAAATCTACTGACAAAATTTGTCAAGTCAGCATCCCAACTCAAAGGGGATTCAAGTCATCCCAAAATTTCATTGCTTCTGGTTTATAAATTACAAAGTTTTATGGCCTCCATTATGTGCAGAACCTGTAAATTGAACCAGGTTTCAATCACTTCTACAACGTCACCCAGCAGCTAAAGTTCAGAGGATACTCACTTTGCCTGTGGCATCGCTGTTCGCAGGAGTTTTCACTGCTTGGATAGCAAACAGTTGTTGCACAATGAAAGAAAACCTGGAAGTAGGGAGCACATGGTCAACCTTTGACAAGCGAGAATGGTGATGCCATTTAGCCATGAAAGCAGACATGGGTACCGTATCTTTCTGAGGAGTGTAGCTATCAGAATTCACAAAGGTGAACATCCGGCTGACGAAACGTTTGTAGTGAGTTGGATATTCAAGGCCAGAAGAGCCATCCAGAGGAATCACTGTGGTGTGATACCTGTCATCATGGTAGGGACAGCTGCACACAAGCAAAGCATACTTTGTAAGTACAATTAGCATGAGGCCAATTGTTCCCGTGAACACTTTCATACCCGTCCACTAGAAGGTCCCATTGAGGTACACTTTGAGGGTTTGGGGTTGAAGTGGCCCAGCAGCGTTCCAGGTTCAGGAAAATGTTTGGGTCAGATCTCCCCAAGAGACGGACCTCAACATAAACTGGTTCTCTCAGAACCTTAGAGATCGGGTAGTCAGCAGAGCTGTAGAAGGAATTAAATGCCGCCACAGCTGCAGTCATATCAGTTTGATTAGGTTTACCTTGCCGAACTTTGTGTGGTGAATTTAATACCACATACCATCAAGACATCCTTTGGAAATACACTGGCCATTGCCCAGTCTGAGTTCCACTCTCAGGGGTCCTGCAGCAGCAACAGACACTGGCGGAGCAACAGGATTCACTTCCATGACAAGAGCTTCTATAGTCGCTCCCAAGTACTGACACTGGAACAGCAATCTGCAGGAAGACGACCCTTCATGTTCTGTTAAATTGTTTTCATCTTGCAAGGCAATTCAAAAGGCCAACAAATTAACATGCCCTCAGAAAATAGTTAGAGGCTTCACAAGTCATTTTTATCCAAAAAATTTACTGTAGACCACATTTAAATACGCTAGTAAACAAGTCATGCAACTAGTGAAAGTCTAGTTGCATGACATTCACTAGTCATGCAACTAGACAATCATTTTGTTTAGAACAAAATGGTTGTCCTAAACTAAACCGTTTTGAGTTTAGGACAAGTTCTTTGGCCAAGTTCATGTAAGCAGCAGGGACCATTAATTAACTTGCATACATATCACTATCAGCTGACTTCATGTTTGGGTGGATGTAATTGAAGAAAAGTGAACTTACTCAAAATGGCTGTCCCTGGTGATTGAGCCTTTGGGTCCAATTCCCACCTCATACGAAGACACCATATGGTTCTCATATACCACATAACTGTCATCATTCTGCTGTAAATAGCAATACATTAAACCTTGAGTCATACTATCCAGGCTGTTTAAACCTCTCTGTATTTGGTAACAGTACTCCACAACTACACAGCAAATACCAGAACATGCTTTTGATATTCAGACTTTTTAAAAGAGATTAATGGCAGTTTTTAAACTAATAAAAAACACCTTAAGTGTTGTTCCACATGCAGTCACAGGAAACTGAAAGATGGCAAAGGCAGAGGTGCCATCAATTGGTCCACAGAAAGGTTCATCTGACTCAAGCAAGCTGACTGAATTGACATCCAGAGGTGGCCAAGTGGCTTCTCTGGCCACAACCACCACAAACTGTCCATCCCTGGTACACTGTACAGTTACTGGACATAAAAAAGTGGAATACATATACGTTTAGATCACAAAAACTAAGATAAGAGAGAGAGAGAAAAAAAAGCCAACACACCTACATACCCGCTTTCCCATAGTAGCACTTGTGCCCATCAAAACAGCAGTTAATGTCTTGACACCGATCAACAGTGATCCCTGGAGTCCCACACTGGATCTTCTCAGCCTCTTCCAGGACACATTTATGAAATGGAGCTGCAGGGGGCACCTTCGACTGCTGCTGAGGCTTCTGGAAAGTAGGAAAGAGCAGATGTTTCTGTGGCAGTGGTGACTGCATCCAGTACTGCTGGGCAGAAACACCACAAACCAAAACAACACCCAGCAGACACTTGAACAGCTCCATCACGTGCATGCTAAACAGAACTGGAGACGTAGGACACACTGTTCCGTCACAGCTTTTGTGCACAGCTGATTGTGGCGCCGGCTTGCTTGGAGCTCCGCCTCTCATCAGGAGTCAATGTGTGACAGGCCTGTAGTTAATGAGCAAGGATGTGACAGGTAGAGCTTGTTGTTCATGACTGAGGAGCAAAATCTCTGTGGATTTTCTTTGAGACGAATGTGCCAGTTAGACTTTGCGTTGAGGGAATTTGCTTCTGTGTTCAGATGGGCTGGAAATCCTGCAATGCAATAAATAAATAAAAATGTTTCAAGAAAACGTTTATATGAGAGCAAATACAGAAAGTGTGAATGAACATATAAAACATTGATTTAAAAATTATTTCAATATGTCAGTAAGTCATTGGATACACAGATCATTTGTTGTAAAAGTTATCAAATAAAATTTGAATTCATTATGCATCAAGTCATATATAAGTATTAAACTTTTATTAATACATTTCATATTTCCTAAGCCACAATCCACTAAGAATTATTTGAAGACACTTTGCCTCAACATACAGCCATGACATTAATCTGGACAGCAGCTTAACTGGTCAACATCACAAAACTTTGTGTCTATGGGATTGTCATGTCTGACCACTGATTTTAAAGGACAAGGCTGACATATAAAAGTAATTTATATTATCTTATGTAATACATAAATGTTAAATAATAAATAAAATATGAAACCTATAAATTTATATTTTGTTTTGACTTGTGTTGAATACAAATTCTATTGAATTGTTGTTGTTGCAGGTGTTTCTATAATTATTAATTTACATAAAATTATGTTTTTTTTTTTTTTCTATTTTAATTCAATGATCCAGTCTTTCTGGGGTGGAATACCTGCTCACAGTTTTTAGATGTTGTTCCTCTTTATGCAACGCAGATGTGACGCAGTTCCTTGAAACAGTGTTTCTAAAACTCAATGTTAATCTAGTAAAACACAGGAACACTGAATATTCAAAAAATGTTCCTGGTTATAATGTGAATCTTTAAGTTTGTATAGAGAAATGCAGACTTTTTTTTTATCGCCCACCATTGCTTTTTCTTTACTGTCTGCAGAAAGACGAGAAACTTGATGTAGTTTTCATCATATTTTGATTCAGGATAGATAGTGTTTCCAGTGTATATGCGTATATTGTCACTTTTTTTAAGCTTGCTGTTGAACAATGCAGTCTAAATATGAATTCAACAACTTCTCAATTGTATAACTTTCCTCTATTATTTAGCCTCAGTTTGGGCTCAAGTTTCTCTGTGTTTATGTAAGCCTGCTGTCCCGCTGTGAGATGTCAGTTTTTAAATACAAACCCTGCTGAGTCATATCTGCCTCCCACCTCTATTACCTGCACTAAGGTGTTCATTTTTCTCTGCATCACGTATATACAGATGTATGGGCGTTACACCCAGGAGCTGGGGGTGTATGCCAAGGAGGAGGCGGCCCGGCTGCGAGATGGAGGCGTGCCGGATGGCGGTGGCCTGAGGAGAACCACGAGCGTTCGAACCCGCACCGCAGACCTGCTGGAGTACGAGAAAGATCCCTGTGCAAAGTGCCAGCGTAAGTGATGATCATTCAACAAAACTGTGTCAACGGGGAAAACCTTCCTGAAGGTCAGTCCAGCACAGCGCTGGCTGTGCAGTGTGTGTGAAACAGCCCTTTATGGCAGGTTGCAGAGCTCCGGTAGACATGCAAGCAGCGTGAAAACACTGGCTCCTTGAAGCTACAGCGGCGCAGCTACCTGACACCTGGGAGCAGGGGAGGATGTGAGCAAGATTAAAAGTGACTGATCTGAGCAACAACCTGCAGCTAACAAGGGCTGCCTCAATGTGTGCACCCTCTGCTGGCTGCCAGTAGCCCACAGTGTATTTGTCAGCCCATGGATGTGTGGGGAGATACTTGCTTTACTGTGTGTGTTTTTGCTTTTGTGAGTTGAACTCTGATCTGAACTGTCAGATTATTTTTTTGTCTCGTGTTCCCAGCTGAACGCAGATAAAGGAGTGGCACTGCCAGAGAGAGATCCACTTCAGACTGATGGATTCAACAGTAACAGAGTGGCAGGAGAGAACAGGAGAGCCTGCAACAAAGATATTGTTGCTTTCCCCCCCAAAAAAACCCCTCATAGACTGTAGTTCATAGGTAGGACTAGTAACTCTCCTTATTTGCATCATTTTAGGCTACACATGTTGACCACCTTAAGCTTCAGAATGCCATCTGAATAAATGCATCATTTTGTCTGTAGCTTACTTAGAAGGATTCACTGCGAATCTATTGATGTTTTATGAACATAAAATAAGACAGTTTAAAAATTGACAGTTTGTGGATTCATTTTGCCGACAGTGTATCTTGCTGAACGTCGACATAATTGATTGGGAAGTAGAAAGGATGCTTCCTATTTTATGCAATGCAGCACCGCCACAGTTCCTTGACTATAGAAAAATATGCTATATGAGAGAGGAATCTCAAATATCAGAGTCCTTGAGGACTTACCAGGTTACAGCCACTGCATACTAAAAGAAAAGTGCACAGACTTTATCTCCAGGATTTTTGTCTGTTTGGAAAAATTTTTGGATCTAGTTTCACATACACACATAGAAAGCAATGTGAAAAGATGCTTTCTGTAGCCCTTTCCAACCTTTGCAAATTAATGTGTTGGTTTGATATTTCATTGATTTAAAAATAAAAACAAATCGCTTTTAAAATCAACCTACCAACCATACCAGTAATATTATTGTTAAAACTTATTGTTAATGTTTCTTTATCTAAAACTATACAACCTTTGCTTAACTCAGTTTTAACGTTTTTAATGTTTTTCCCTTTTTATCCAAAAAAAGGCTGAAATTTGAGAGTTTATCATAAAGCTTGAAGACGGCAATAGAAATATTGTTAACCTTGAAAAGCTTTTAGTTTTAATGTATTAGAGATTCCCATGATGAACTCATGAGAAATGTGGATATGTTTAATATTTGATGTGGGGAATTGCAGTTTTAAGAAATGCGTCCATGTATTCCCCTTCTGAACTCAAGAGAAATTAGTTAGTTTAATTGTTCTCTGTTTGAACTTTGCGAGATTCAGTAAATCTTGTCTAAGTAGAAAAAAGGTGTTTATGACTGAACCAAGTCCACCGATCTCCAGGATCAAATTATGCTTCCATCCGCTGTGACTTTAGTAGTCTGATTAAAGTGTGATTGATTGCAGCAGGGGTCCAAAGTACACTATATCAGCCCAACCTTTCTCATTCTCTGTGAAGTCGACCTCTTGAAACCTCCATTTCCGGATCAGCAGCCTCTGATTTGTGTCCGCTCTCTGTCTGCAGTGTGCGCCCATAGATCAAGTGGTGTTTGTATTTTTAGATCCATCTTCAGAGAGACTGCCCAGCCACTGTCTCCTTAGGTAATGCACATGGAGAGGCTTCCTTCTGGTTTAGCGGAAGTGGGCGTTGCAGTGTTCTCCTCTCATGCATCTGTGTGGGAGCGGCATCTCTGTGGGTGATGGACTTCAAGTGTAAGAGCCTCGTTTCAGATCAGTGGCTGCGGCTCCTGAACGAGGCGGCCTACACACACGGCTACAGGCCTGTCAGAGAGCTAAAACCACGCACCTCGTTGAATTTATTTTGACTCACAAAGGGATTTTTTTGTTATCTTTGGCTGATGTGACTCAAAACTCAAGTTTTTGTTACAGGTCTATTATGTTTCACTGTACATTCAGGGCCTCTTATGCTGTCAGAATCCAATATACGTTTTTTTTTTTTTTCTTTATTATCCCAATGTCGGTGTCTGTTCATGCAGTGCAGGGCAGGGGAAGATTACAAATTTTTCTGGCTGTGCGGGACGATCTTTACTAGGGGTAGAAGACATCTGCGGATGCCATGAGTCTCCGGATGTGAGAGCGAGCCAACATGAACACGGAAGCATGAGGCTTTGCAGGTGCCAGACGCTGTGTTTATGTGAACAACTATTTCTATGAGGACTGGAGGGAAGATTTTTTTTTTAATTCAAATAAGTGGGAAAATTCTTGCCAATTTCTTTCTTTTTTTTTTTTTTTTTTTTTTTACAATTTCAATCTTCTATACATGAAGATTCGGTTGAGGACAGATCATGTATGTTTAAGGTCTTGGAAGGTGTTTTATATTTTTGCTTAATGGCTTCCATTTAAGGCATTGTGCCAAGAACCAAATGAGAGAAAGAAAAAAAAAAACATTTTTGGAAATTTCTGCAGTGTTCCCAAAATGAAATTAATGTTTAATTCTGAAAACATGACAGCAGACTATGATGATAATTGTTTACCTTTTTTCCCCATTAGGTTCGTGTTTGGTTTGTCTTTGTCTGCTGCTCTAGCTGATTAAGAGTGTTTGCATGTTTACTCTGCTTGCTTGTGCATTCCCTGCTGGCAGCTGTCCATTCAGCAGGTGGCCTGACTGCTGGGCAACTTGGCTTGTCAAACACACAGTTGTCTTTTTATTTTATTATTATTATTTTCCTCAGAGATATGTTTTTCTTTTTTTTTTTTTTTTAATAGTTCCAGCTTTGTTAAGAGTGTCTGAGGATTTTTAAAGTCATTTTTGTTCACTTTCTTCAAAGGCAAAAGTTCAAATACACACTTATTTAGTCCAGTTAACCTGTTTTATACAGTAAAGTTCTTTGAGAAGATCTGTGGTGTGAACTGAGGTTCTAAAATGAAGTTGAACTGAATCATACTGAACTGAACTGAAAATTGTATTGTGTGACATTGTGCAACATAAACTTCTAAACATTCAGGATGAATACGATTTATTCAACAACCATTTTGGCAAAGATCAGAAAGATCAGTTTGTCACAATTTCTTTCCCCTTTCTCTCCTAAAACACATTCTGACAATGAAATATTATTTTAGCAACATTAAGGTGATTCCACAGGAAGCTGTGAAGGCTGACCAAGAAATCATGAAAATCTAATGATGTCTGGCCACCATTATAGCTACAACCATTATGGCTTCATTCTGATAGAGGATCTGTGGAGGGAATGGGGAGGACATCTTCCAAACTCAAAGATCTAAACGTTGTCATTTATCTAAAATGTGAATATAAACCAATGATTTTTTTTTTAAATGGATGCTTTTTTTTACAAAGTTGCTCAGCAGAGTTAGCCTGTCACATCTCTTTTCCTCTTAGAAACAAACATCTTGCTAGAACAAAGATTATATTATAGATTTGTCTGTTCTTCACTTTACTTGACAAATGTAAACAATTTGCATATTTTGAAGAAAAATATAAATATTCAATAATAAGTATACTTATATTTAATCAATAACATATCATATTTATAGATTTTATGTGTAATAAAATCATTTCTGAGGAAGTTATAGAATTCACATTGATAACTTGATGCATATTTAATGCATCGGTTTGACAGCTACTTTTCCGTCTTATTCTGATCCACACGTGTTTTGTTCACACCGTCTTCTGTGTTTTACGTCCTCAGCTCTCGACTTAGCAAAAGTAAAACAGGGCATATTAGCTAAAGAGAAAAGTTCGAGGTAACTCGACTGAAGCAGTTTTGGAAATATGGATCTTTCTGTGAGTTAGTGGCACATTTCTGTCTCCTCTGGGGATGACCACATCGATGAATGCTCTGGATACTGAAGTGAATTCCAGGCTTTGGCTGTTTAACAGACCAGAGTGAGGAAATGAGTCCAGTGATGCTTCTTTTAGTTGACCTAGCTCAGATTTATAGATTGTATTGTAGTAAAGTTTATATATGACCTAGCTTTTATTGCCACATTTTGAAATAGATTGAATGATGCTCTATCATCCATTAAGCTCTTTGTCTCATGATCTTTATTTTTAGCTGAATAATAAGCTGATCTAAGAGAGTTAGTTTTAAGCTTTACTGGCTTAATTATTTTCACAGAATGTGAATTATAGTATAAAATATTTTACACAAGTATCACATCTGAATTTTGTTTCTTCACTTTACTTGACAACTGTAAACAAATGTAAAGATCTGTTATCCTGTTGGACAGTTTTGTTTCATGGAGGCTTTGGTCCTGTTGATGCCTTAGCAAATATTTTTTGTTAATGTGCAGTTAATAAAAGAGACTAAATCCGTATTCACACTTTCATCAGCTTATTCACAGAAAACCGGATAATGAGTATCCAGGATTTCACAACATGAAACTGTAAGCAAAAAAAAAAAAAAAAAGATGTGTTAGGTTTCACAGCCTTCTGGGAATTTATTAGCTTGGTTTGTTTTCTTCTTTTTTTTCTTTTTTTTTTTTTTACAACACCTATAAACAGCGGGTATAAAAAGGTATTAAATATGGCAACATTTTTCTGAGTTTAAACACTTCTATTCACTTTAAATTCACTCCAGTTTTTAAAAGCAGCCTCAATAATTCACACCTACAATCAGTTTAAAAGCGGCAAACTTTAAAATGAGCAGATATTATTAAAACAGGTGATACTGATGAACACAGAGTGGCAGTAAAGCTTTTAGCTTTAGCTTTACTTTAGATTTTAGCAGGTTTTTTGTGTTTCTTTGCCTTTTTGAACATCCCTTTTATCAATAGTTCACTTATTGACAATTTTTTCTTTATTTGTTTTAATGTGTAGAGTGATTTGGTTGTTATTAACATTTGCTGCAAATGTCGTGTGAGTAAAATTATTAGAAATAATTAAAATGAAAAAAATGATGGCTTGTCCAGTACTTTTTTTACCTTTGTAAAAGAGCAGCTCTGTGTTCGCCTATTTCATTTACATACCAGGGACTCCTTGTTTCCTGAATATTGTCCAGTAGCAAACTCTGCTCAGGTAATTTGGTCAGTGACTTATTTTTAAATTTCCTCTCTTTCTTGTTTGGCGTCATCAGTGTGTGCATCTCGCTGCCAGAAGTTCCTGATCTCACGGGTGGGAGAGGATTGGATCTTCCTCATTTTGCTGGGGCTGCTCATGGCTCTGGTCAGCTGGGTCATGGACTACGCCATCGCCTTTTGCCAAGAAGGTAGGAAAGAGACACAGTGCCAGAAGAGGAAATGAGTTTGATGTCTAAATGATGCGCTGATCTCCTAGAGGCTGCCATTATGGATTAAGCATTCGATCTGAAGATGTCAGAATCTGAAGATATTATGAGGACATAATAAATTTTGTCTGTCTGTCCCAAAATCAGTTTTGCTTCTTGTTGACTTGTTACTATTGAGATTGAATGTGACATTTCTCAGACATTTTTAAAACGTGTTTACTTCAGTTTTGCCGTTGACTTATTTACAAGCTTTTTCGGTTTGTTAAAACTGGTCTTAAATAGCCACATGTGTCACTCCTTTCGGTCTCCAGTAATGTTTGCATCAAGACTGTTTTCAAAAAATAAATGGTAGTGAAGAGCAGTAAAATTATCATAAAACTGAACTTTTAAAGGCTTACTTCATAAAAAGGTAAACAATTTTATTCTTAACTTTAAACTCTGAATGACATGCAAATTAGATTAACATAAAGTTATTTTTAGACCTTTAATGACTGTATGTTTTATTTAGTTTCAGCCTAATCTGGCTTTTTCTTCCCTGGGTGTGTGTGCATGTTTGTGTCTGTGTGTGTTTTTTTTTTTTTTGTGAAGAAAACATCAAATTCATGAAGTTAATAGAGATAGAGAGAAAAGTAAAACTGAGAAACAGAGATGCCGGTTGCCTTGTTTTCTGCTGTTTCATAACAAGATGACGTGACTTATGTGTGTCTGTGCAGCACAGAAATGGATGCATGGTGGCCTGGACAGTAACATGCTTCTGCAGTACATTGCCTGGGTCTCCTACCCGGTGGTGCTCATCACTTTCTCTGCAGGATTCACTCAGATACTCGCGCCTCAGGCTGTTGGTAAGACAGATACCATTTATGCACAAACATGTATTCATCTCTCTAATTCACAGTTGTTTTTTTTCTGTGTTTGACTAATGTAATTGGCTCTGAAGTGCACAGTGAGGGCTCCAAGGACATGTCCTGCGAGTCACTACAGGCAGGACAGTCATAAAATGAACCGCTGATGAGATGTGCATACACAAAACTGTATGAATATCAATCAGCTCTCCTCCCTCCCATTCCTGTGCTCTTCATTTCTTCATCTTATTCCTCCTCTCTGTAATTGCTTTCTTTCAATTCATCTTTTCTCTGCACTCCATCATCCCACCTGGCATTTCTTTCTCTCTTTCTCTCTTCCCACCTCAGGTTCAGGCATTCCTGAGATGAAAACAATACTAAGAGGAGTTGTTCTCAAGGAGTATCTGACTTTTAAGACCTTTGTGGCTAAAGTCATCGGTCTGACCTGCGCTCTGGGAAGCGGGATGCCTCTGGGGAAAGAGGTAGAGGACCCTTTTCTTCGTCACTCCACATAGCAGCATGTCAATCTGAGTACGGTTTGTTTGTCTAAAGGGGTTTTAATGGTTTTCCCGCAGGAGGTAAAAGCATCATTCCACTCTCACAGTTGTATTGCTTTCATTAGTGTCTTGTTTGGTGACATTTGTCTTCACCCTCCCTCACAGGGACCCTTCGTTCACGTGGCCAGTCTATGTGCTGCTCTCCTCAGCAAACTCATGGCGGCGGTTTTCGGAGGGATTTACATGGTGAGCACAATAGACATTTTACACTGTAAATTAAGAAAAAAACACAAAAACCTCATTCAGTTTCTCAGTGAGGATAATAATGTTTACCTAGTTTTTTGCACATTTTTTTAAAAGTGGAACCAGATGAACAGAAATTTTAGTCAAGTCAACTTACTTATTTAGCATAGTGCCATAACTGACCAGAGTTTTACATGGTAAAAGTTCAACAACTGAACAATAAAAACTATCAAATTAGTCAATGCATGCAGCAAAACAAACATCCAGATGTCCTGGTTAGGTAAAGACTTATTGAAAAGAAATGTGTTTTAATTTGGATCGACTCTTAATTCTAAAGGAACACTTCGCCTCAGAAACAAGCTTCATATGATTAATTGAATGAAAATATTTGTTGACAGAAGTATCATGCTGTGGGGCTACCTTTTTTTTCAGGTGGATGAAGTCAAACAAAATGTTATTCTTTGTCATTTTAAAAAATTATTTTTCTCCTTTCAGAGGTGATTTTTTTTTTTTTTTCAGATGAACCATAGAGCACATAATTCAATTTACAAAAGCATGCCATTTCAGGAGGATTTATGGAGATTATTTACATGACTTTGCAGAAAATTCTGTTAAATTAATGGTTATTAGATCAGGTAAAGAGCATCCTGAAGTCAAATTTGAATTGATGCATGTTTTTTTTGTTGTTTTTTTTTTTTTGGAAAGTCTCACAGCAGATGGTATTATTTTAGGCATGAAATAATCCAAACTGAAACTCTTTGTCAAAGGAAGAGAAATGGTCAGTATCCAAGAAACTGATTGTAATTGATCAATAAAACTTCAAATTTGGGATTTCATATCATAGACACAGAGTCCTTCAGCTAGCATAGAAAACCAGGATAACTTAGATTTTTCTCAGCAGATAAAGAAAAACAAACCTGCAGGTCAGATTTCTTTTTAACAAAAAATAAATAAATAAATAAATGTTTTATTTATGACAGAAGAAAAGAAACAGAAACTATTATTCTCTGTAAAAGTATGTGACGCTTCTTTGACCTTCTGCCATTCCCCAGGACACACTCTCACCTCCATGCACATGAAAGCTCAACCGGGACCTCAGTCTTTTTTCTGCACTGGATCCTGGGCTGGCATTCTCCTCGCTGCACACAGTCTTGACAATATGGAGGAAGATACACAGCTGAGATGTCCAAAGGGAAAAAAAAAAGAAAAGAAAAACAGACAGCGCAGTTATAAAAGATTCAGATTGTTACAGCTACATGGACAGTATTCCACATAAGTCAGGGAAACGTTGATTGAACAATAAGTCTGCGGAAGTACATTCACTCCTTGTTTGATTTGGTGGATAAGAAAAGTCACATCTGCACCTTTGTTTTGTTCGTACTGCTGAAGGAAGAGCCCTTTGAGGGAAGCAAGGTATGAACGCACAAGTCAAACAGTTTCCCCGTTTCCGATTCCGTCAACATTGATAGTCCATGTTGTCCGTTTCAGAAACTGGGGCAAATTGATGTCTTCCCATTCGTTTTTTGCTGTGTGTGATTCTGTCCAGTGATCAGTCGCAGAGAGGCATCATCAATATGTGTCGCCTTTACTTTGATCCAAACATCTCAAAATGTCATTTTTAAAACTCAATTCTGTGTTTTCAATGGACCTCCTACACTTCTATAAACAACGCAAAATGAGCAGATTTCAGAAGTTTGACACTTGATACTTTTGAATGTTTTGTGTTAAATTTCACAGTGTTTTGTGGCATTTGCATGCATGCATGCACTGACTTGGATCTGGAAGTTTGAATGTCTTGAATGCCTTGCTCTGTTCGTTTTTGTATATGTGCATATCTTACTTTCTTCAATCAGAATGAGCTGAGGAACACGGAGATGCTGTCGGCTGCCTGTGCTGTGGGTGTTGGCTGCTGTTTTGCTGCACCCATTGGAGGTAAGACTCAGCTGCTGTGGCCTCTGACTGAACTTGACCCAGGAATGGTAAATTGCAAAAGCTAACTGGATGAAGAGAATGTTTTTTGGCCTTTTAGTTGTAGGAGTTGTAAGCTAGGCCAGCATATTGCTGTAATTCTTTCAGTCAGTGCAGAATCCTGTATCTCCACAACTATCAGCCTGACTGCCATGCAAGCTGACATGTATATTTATGTTTCCCATTGTTCCTTGTGGGACATTCCATGTCAACTCAACCAGGAGTTCCATCTGTCCATCTATTCATACGTCCATCCATTTTCCTCCACTCGTCCGAGGTTTGGTCTTGGTGGCAACAGGCTAAGCAGGGTGTTCCTGACGTCCTTCCCTCCCGAGAGGCTTTCCAGCTCCTCCCGGCGTTCCAAGCTCCGGTGACACATGTAATCACTCCGGCGATGACTGACTCTGCCCTGCAAGCTATCAGTCTTCCCAGAAAATCTGCAAAGAAAATCTATTATTTACATACTGAGCCCACTCAGCGCTCCTCCTGGATATCTGAGTGTAGAATGCCAGGTGTTTAGTCACTCTACGAGGCTTTTCATCTCATTTTATGGGTTGCATTGAAAAAAGCTCAATATGACAGACAGAATGGTTCTGTTTGGACCTTCAGCTAAGACTATTCCAACAGTGAACTGCAATACCTGCAGACCTTTTAGACTCAACACCAGCCCAGAGATCCCAGGGCACCTCAACCCTCTGGCTTGCTGATGCTCTCCTCTCTACACTGAAGAGTGCACTTAGATTTGCAGGTGCTTACTTATAAAGCCCAGTTCAGAAAGGAGACAAAAGAACTGCAAACAAATGGGAGTCAGCAAGCAATGTATGCCTATAAAACTTAGTTAGTTAGTTAGTTAGTTAGTTAGTTAGTTAGTTAGTTAGTTAGTTAGTTAGTTAGTTAGTTAGTTAGTTAGTTAGTTAGTTACCATTTAAGGAAAAGAAGTATGTTTTACATTATTTATTATATCATATTCTATTATTCTATTATAGAGATACAGACAGACATGCTTGAAGTTGAACTTGTAGATGTTACTGCAGTACACAGCTGTTTCAAAATAGTTTCTTTATTTTTGTGTTTCTGTGTGTGGGGGTGTGTGTGTGTGCGTGTGTGTGTGTGTGTGGGGGTGTGTGTGCGCGTGTGTGTGTGTGGAGGGAGGGGGGGGGGTGTTGGTGTGCGTGCGTGTGTGTGTGGACTATCGTCTTACCAGTGTGTCCCTGTGTTTTCTGTCCTGTGTGGACACATCCACACAATAACTGCAGGGATAAACTTCAATATCCCTGCAAAGTGTGAACTGGACTGACTGGGTGCAGATAATTCACATCTGCTTTTCCAACTGTAGAATTTTGAAACGATCAAATTTTACACAGAAGGTCTTGATTTCCTAGTTCTGACGGGTTGAAAATTGTTGATTCTTAGTCGACTTCGTCCACATTAAAGCCTAAATGGCTCTAAACATCACAGCAACATAAATGTCAGTTTATAGATGTATTATCTAGGTTATTTGTTATGTTTTTTTTCTTTTGATGGACCTTGAACTTTCTTCTTACTTCTAGGTCAAAATGCACACTTCGCCCACTGTTTGATTCATGTCAAAACTTTCTAAACTTGAAAAATCTGGTGGAGAAAATGTTAAAGTGATGAATCATGTTTGGTTTCAAGCAGCTGCTCTTCTTTCGACGGCTTGTTTTCAGAAACAGATGGACTCGCCCACTCAGGGAAATGTTTGAACTTTGATTTTTTTTCAAAGCAATGAAAGAAGTTCAGGAGCTGTCCTCTGACATCATTTATAAAACTGATTTTAAGTGTTGGAAATTACTGGATATGGTCTGTTTTTATTTATTTAAATTAATACGATGCTTTTTTATCTTGAAACATGTGAAACTGCACAATCAATTGAAATAACACTCTCTTTGAAGCATTTTTCTTTACCACAAAGCTGAATTATTTTAATCAAAAGCTCTTGATGACTGTTTTGTTTGAGCTGATGTTTCTAGAAAGACAGACGGGGCTCGTTGGGTTTTTTTGGGACATGATTGACGTGTTGTCTCATTCATTTACAGATCTGAAATAAACTCATAGTGACATCTGAACAGTTTGTACCACATAGCTACTGAGAGATTTACAGCATTTATCTAATAATAACCAGTTAGAATTTAAATAACCTGAAATTGGTTGTTTACTGTTTGGAAATTGATTAGATAGACAAATGTTTTGTTGCATTGGGATGAATGAACAGCTAAGGAATAAGGAAATTTAAATACTTGCACCACATGAAAGTGGTGCAAACTGTCTGGATTCATAAGGGTGATTTATCAAGCTGTAGAAATAGAGTCTTGCGAAAGTATTTATAACACTTGTGCCTTCTCACTTTTAATTGCTTTTTTTAATCCACTGATTGTAGTCAGTAGATTAAAAACTGAACAAGAATGTTTTATCAGTTTTTAGACTACTGCCCTTTTTCTGAAATTGTTGGTGTCTGCAACACCTCTGTAGTATCAATGTCATTGGTATTTTGCAAAAAAACTAATAATTTGAGTGAAAAATAAAATAATCAAGATGATGATTTGAGAAGAGATTGGTAAAGTGAAGTTTTAAAAATTGTACACAATTGTACACTTTGTAGAACCAAATTATGCAACAGTTCAGTTCAAATGCTTGTCATACTGTTCCTAATTTTATTATTATTTTTTTAAGTCTTATTTTACTCTGACTTCCAAACTGTTCACTACCTTGTGTTTTTTTTATCACATAAAACCCCAATAGAAAAATTAATGGTTTGTAGTTTTAACATGGCAAAATGTAATATCTGCAGGAGTTTGAATATGTTTGCAAGGCCCTTTAGTCATTTCTCTGAGCTAAAATGTGCGATTCTCTCAGTGTATCTTTGTGCGTTGCAGGTGTGCTGTTCAGTATCGAAGTCACGTCAACGTTTTTTGCCGTCAGGAACTACTGGAGGGGCTTCTTTGCTGCCACCTTCAGTGCTTTCGTATTCAGATTGCTGACAGTCTCGAACCAGGAGGAAGGTACGAGAGACTAAGTATTACTTTGTTCACAAATATCTGAATGCGCCGTGGAGCAGATCTGTTGCACAAACAATGGCTTTAATTTTCATTTTGTCATTCAGTCCTCTTAATACAAAAGTCAAGCTGACAGATTGTCATTCATGGCAGCACGCCATCTGCAATAGAGTGAGAACAATCTTCTTTTCCCCAGAGACCATCACTGCTCTCTTTAAGACACGCTTCCGTCTGGATTTCCCTTTCGACCTTCAGGAGCTTCCCGCGTTCGCCATCCTTGGGTGGGTGTGTTTCTCGGGAGTGACTCTGCATTAAACAGTATTCAGTCTTTGAATTGTATCGAGCTTTGTCCTCCCACAGAAGCCATTTTGCTGCTTAGAATTTGAAGGCTGATTCTTAGATAAGGATTGTGGCATAAATGAAACTTTGAAAATAATAGACCTGGATCAGCCTGTACCACATTAGTTGAAAGCTAAAATATTCCTAAAATCAGAAAATTGGAACAATGTCCTTCTGTGAGAGAGCGTCCAACAATAATTGACTTAACTGAGGTCTGAGGTTGTTTTCGGCTTTAGGAAACCAGTCATATCTTTCTATTTGCAGGATTGCTTGTGGGTTTGGGGGAGCTCTGTTTGTGTACTTGAATCGACACATTGTGGAGTGCATGAGGAAGCAAAAGACCATTAACAAGTTTCTGCTGAGGAAGTGAGTATTGGATGTATCTGGTCCTGTTTTCTTTACTTTATGAGCACCAATTAGGCAGAATATGCTGCAACTGTAAGCCCCCAAATAAAATCCACTTATGTTTACCATCCTCCTCCTCACACTGTATGTCACAGTGATAGCGTTGTTCTGGAGAAAAGTAGGTGTGTGAATTAGGCTAGTTCGACACGTGTCATCGCCAGAAGTTATACATAGAGTGGTGAATCAACTGCTTACCCACGGCGTGAAGAGCACCCCCATTAATGACCCCACAGTCCGTCTCTTCCTGTCAGGCGGCTGGTGTACCCCGCCCTCGTCACCCTGCTGGTGTCCACGCTCACGTTTCCTCCTGGCTTCGGGCAGTTCATGGCTGGACAGGTGAGAAAATGTGTTTACACCATTCTGACAGGAGGAGAGCGCGTCTTGTTTGCTGTGAGATAATTGATGGACATTTTAAATGAAGTGAGAGTTGGTGTCAAGCTGAGTTCCCTCGCTTAATAAGTTGTTTAGCAGCTGATATGTTTGCCCAGATGGTAGATGTTTCAAAAATATTTTTGTTGACACGTAGACTTTTCCTGAGCTCTTGATGTGATATTGGGTCTGAAAGGTATTTTTGTTCAGTAAAACCAACATGTAAAACTTATTTTCTCACACTTGCAATCACATATAGTGCGTAAAAAGACAAGTAACCCTTTTTTTCCCTCAGTAATGTTAACTTTTTCTGTCTTAGGTCAGTTAGGATGAATAAAATATTGGTATTTAAGAATTAGATATTTTTCAGATGTTTGCACACATTTTCTCAGTGTTTGGTAACATCTGGAACTTGAACCCCAGGAATAGCTTGTTGGCATCTTAACTGATTTATTGTGTTCATCCCAGGATGTCACACAAAGAAGCGGTGTGTTCAGTTATTAAGAAATAAACCAAAACATTTCTGCAGGCGCCACATGTATGTTACAGTGAGGGTTTGTTTCTGTCACTCTCTGAACTGACGGTCAGTTTTCCTGTTTGTCAGTTGACGCAGCACGAGTCTCTGGTCGCTCTGTTCGACAACCGCACCTGGTGTCGCCAGGGTGTAGCTGAGGAGTTTGACTACATCAGCCACCATCATGCCTGGAAACACCCTCAGGTCAACGTCTTCATTACACTCATCCTCTTCATCGTCATGAAGGTGAGCACTGACTACTTTTACCTGCTTCCATCATTTAAATTTGGGCCTTCAACATGAATCCCTCTGTAGATTCATGTAACCGAACAGGCTTATTTTCATGAAGTCACAAAGTTTGCATCGCATGATATTTGTCTTTTTCTATAACTACTGACTATATCTGGTCACAAGGTATTCACCGCAAACTATGACCTAAAACTCTGCACTGAATAATTTCGTTTTTTCACTCAAACGTTTCTCTGTATTTCAGTTCTGGATGTCTGCCGTTGCCACCACCATGCCAGTCCCATGTGGAGCCTTCATGCCCGTCTTTCTTATCGGTGAATGAACAGTCAACATCTTTCCTTTTTTCCAGGGAGCTCTTAAGGATGAACTGCATTTTGTGTGTATTGTTGACTGACAGGTGCAGCATTTGGCAGATTAGTTGGTGAAATCATGGCAACCATGTTCCCTGATGGCATCCACGGAGATGTGTATCCTATAGTTCCCGGTGGTTATGCTGTTGTTGGTGAGTTGCTATGAATCAGCTTTTATACTGCTCCTAGCTCCTTTTATTTGGGATTTCAAACTCATTCTATGGAGCGTAGGTGACTTTATTTGCTGTAGCCGTGAACCTTCAGCACATTTTTATCACTTTGCAGGCAGCAAATGCTGCATAGCAAAACATTAAAACAAGATTAGTGCAATGATTGCCGTTGGAATCCCCCCGCAAAATAGTAAAATTTTGAATGACAAAATCAACTCATAAAAATAGCTTTAAATGAGAAGTGTTCAAAGTAAGAATAATAAAAGCCTTTTTTTCATGAAACTGAAGATTTAAGAAGGGAAATCTTTATCTGATTTTCCTTTTCTCTGTGCAGGGGCTGCAGCGCTCTCTGGTGCGGTCACTCACACTGTCTCCACAGCGGTCATTGTGTTTGAGCTGACCGGTCAGATCTCCCATATCTTGCCTGTGATGATCGCAGTGATTCTGGCCAACGCCGTGGCACAAGCGCTTCAACCGTCTCTTTACGACTCCATCATTCGCATCAAGAAGCTCCCATATCTGCCAGAGCTGGGGATGGGACATCACGAGTGAGTTTGGTCTTTCTTTTTTTTTTTTTTTTTTTTTGCTCTCATCTAAAGTGATTATGAGTCCTCATTTGTTTTGACTTCATTTCTATTTTTGACCTCTCTCTTTCCATTACCAAACTAGTAACTTCTCTTCCATCATTTAGGAAGTATAACATCCGCGTGGAGGACATCATGGTCCGAGACGTGCGCTTCATCACCTTGAATTCTTCATACAGAGACTTGCAGGAGATGCTGCTGACTGGGCATCTAAAAACCCTCGCCCTGGTTGAATGTAGAGGTTTGTTTTCATTGGGTTTTTTCTGTTTTTTTTTTTTTTCTTGTTTGGAACAGTGGGAGGCTCAGCCAGAGTCAGAGTCTTTAAATTTTGTTAGAACATTTGTATCATTCTCAGGTTAAGAGGGAAATTTCTGTTATGAATGTGGAAAGCATTGGAGGTATTTTCCTTTCTGATTATCTTATTTATTATTAGTTGTTATAAATATACCGTAAGCATTTTGAACTCAGATTTTCTCATTTGTTTGTTTTTAACTTCCTCACTTATTCATGTCATTTCTTCTTTCCTTTCCTCCTCCAGAACTATTTTTTTCTTCTTCCCATTCATTAACTATAAATTTATAAATTGTAAATTTATAATATTGTAAATTCATTGTATGTTTTGTTTATTCTCCAAATGCTGCTGAAAATAAATTTTGAGGCTCTTTTCCCTCTTTTTCCACAGCTTTTTCTAGTTCTTATCAATGCACCCTGTGTTTTTCCAATATCCTTTTACATTAGAGCATTCTAGAAGTGGTCTGTTCTCTGTCAGACTTGCAATTGTCTTAAATGACGGTAGACATCATTTTAAATCGCTTAATTTATTTGTAAATAGATGCTTTGAAAAGCTTGTTACAAAGCTGTGTCAAGTCCAGCAAGGATGACAGTTCCTCCTGTTTGCCAAAGCTGATAAAGCAAAGTGAGCTTCCTGCTGCTGCAGCAACCACAGACAACTTTCTGTCCTCTAGCTTGACCTGAACCTAATTCCCTTTTAACATTTGCTGCACCGTTGAGTGGCCGCTTGGTGCTGACAATAATTAGCTCGGTGTGTGGTCTCCGTCTCACTCACTCCTTCTGTCCCTGCAAAAGAAATATCTGTAATGCCCGGTAATAGGAACTAGATTCTTGTATAACTGGCACAAAAACAGAGGAAGAATTGCATTTTATAAGCCAAAACAGAAGGATTTCACTTTTTCCTGGTGATTTAATGCATGACGGACTGAGCTGGTCTTCATCTCCCTCAGACTCCATGATCCTGCTGGGCTCCATAGAGCGGCTGCAGCTCCAGTCCCTCCTGTCTCTTCAGCTGAGCCGCCAGCGGAGGCTCGAGTACCTCCGTCAGCTGGCCCAGGACAATGGCGCTCACGATCCCCTGGCCAGTCTGACCTCTGACAGCACCCCCAGCTCCCCTTGCGCCCACGTTCACCTCAACACTCCCACCAACACCAGTGCTCGCCAAGGTGTCCGCTTCCTGGTGAGCACCCAGCAGGTGTGAGGCGTCCGGGGGCGCCGGGGCAGGGTTGGGATGAACTCAGGCTTGGGGTGGGAAGCAGCAGTAGACTGGAAGTAGATCAGAGCATGAGTGAAGCACAGAGCAGTAGGTAAAGGCACAGCTGCAGCTTTTGGATTTTGTCTTTATTTATTGTTTTATGGTGGCAACCGTTTTGAAAAATATCCAAATGTGAAATATTATAACCTTTCTATTAACATCTCTCTTTTGTGTCTCTGTTGTCTGTGCCTTTACCCGTGCTGTGCTGTTTGTTTCGATGCATGTGCTTGGCCGATCTGTGTGCGTTTGTGTATTTGTGTGCATGTGTCTGTGTCCGGTCTTTCCTGTTAATGTGTTGTCCATGCAGATCTCCACAGAGGAGTCTTCCTCCTTCAGCCCGGTGGCTTCCAATGCTCAGCTTCCTCTAAAATCCGCCTTGAAAACAGTGTCGGCCATCAGCGACGCAGAGACGCCAAACAGTAAGTGACTTAAACAAGGACGTACAGACAAGAGACAAGAACTGGAACGTGTAATTTTATGCCTGGCAAAAGTGTTGACACTTTTTAGGTGTTTAACAGTTTGTCATATTATACGCACAAATGTTTGTTATGTTTGTTGCATTTATGTGTAATCTTAGCTGTAAAATGGAGCAAAAAGTGATTGTTAAAAGTTTTGACTCGGGTAAATGCATGCATGCTTTTCAGAATTTTGCTGATAAGAAAAACTTGAAAACCTTGAATCCGTTGCCTTCCTCTTCAATGTTATGTGCTGCTTTGTGCTATTCTGTCTCATATCTCAAACATACTTTTCAGTTTGTAGTTCCAATGTGAGAAAATATGAAGACATTTAAGGGCTATGAACATTTTTCAAGGCACTGTTTAACATTTTTAAGTATCAAAAGAAGATTTAATCAAATCTGTTCTTTTTTTTTTTTCCCCCATCAGGCTCACAGACCCTCTCCTGTGCAGATCCAGACAACGAGCTGCTGGAGGTGAGAAAAACCGAGTTTACTTAGGTGTGAGCTTCCTGTGGAAGGACGCGTGTGACATGTGCTGTGTGGGAGGATGCGCTCTCTCTGAGTCCATGGCTTGTTGCTGTCCTGTTGCTGTCGGATAGGACTCACCCAAAGGCACCAGAGCTTTGCACTGTGATGTCACTCAGTTCTCGTTGTGCACAGCTCCGTCCTCAGTTGGTGACTGCACAGCGCTCTCACTGCCAGTCTTCCAATATCCCAGATTTCACTTCACTTTAGTCAGAGTTCGGCCAGAGGTGGAGCCACGCGTCGGGGCAACTATCGGTCTGTCTTTGACTTCTTCAGCTTCCCACATAATTCAGCATAAGCAGCTTGGAAAAACCCTATAAGTTAATTTGACAACATTTACTCGGCAGGGTAAAAAGAATGCTCTCTACATTGTTCTAAGAGAAACAGACCCAAAGCATCACAAAGACATGAGATGCTTTTCAATATGTGCAGCCTTTGTTTGACGCCATACCTTGTGAGCTTGTTGCAGGAAAACTCAAGTCATAGATCAGTCTGACCAAAGCATACAGTTTCAGTTGAATTCCCTGTTGCACTAAAAGTATTATTATCTCCACATGGTTTTGTGGTGGTAGATATTTTTTTCTTGGGTTGCTTCAGCATTCAACTGATTACCATGTAGATTACATCTAAAACCTTTTCTGACACCAACTTCTCTTTGCTTTGACTTTCTAACAGTAAGGGTTTTTTTTGTTAACCTCGCTCACCATCCTCCTTGGATCCTTATCCACCTGAGTGGACAATAGCCAAGAAAAATGGGCTTCATGTTCATAAATTTATTCCGGGGACACTGACAGTCACAAAGTAATTGCTAGAAGTTTATACGAACTCTGATCAACCTATATAACTAAAGTCAAAATGGCAAAATTACTTCCATGACATTAATTTTAGATGAACTGTTGGAGTTGACAATAATTGTGCAACCAATAATGCTTTGAAAAAAACTTATTTCTTAATATGGGATTTCTTTTCCCCGTCTGACTAAGATCTACTGAAATAAAGGTTGGAAACTGAAATTGAGAGGAAGCCACTACGGCAGCAGTGAGGTGTTTATTTTGTGAAGGTAGTGCGTCAGTAAATTAATCTTTAATAATTTTAAACTGTCACTACCAAAAGAATATTTTTATTCAATTTTTACCATCAGAAACATTTAGATTTTCATTTCATTTATTATGAATATCATTATTAATTTGTTATAATAATATATAATAGCGAGATCATGCATAATAGCACTATGATTATTTTCTGGTTACTATTTGGTTCAAAATAAAATAACCTCATCACGTAATGTAGGACGGTCACAACTGCAGTACCATAATATGTTGAGTTTCCTAAATTGAACACTAAAACAAAGAGACAAAATGAGACATACTTTTAAATTTTATGAGCTTGATTATAAATTGAACTGAGTTTTTCCAAAAAAAGGCTTCCTTTTCAGTTTGTAGTTGCAATGTGAGTGACTCAAACGTGTGGATTTAGTTTCATTCTCCTCTTTGGCCTTTCTTTGTAATGGGAGTTCATTCTTCTGAAATAAGTAAATATAGTTAACACAGTTTCTTCTACAACAGATGTTCATACAGGATTAAAAACAAAATGTAGAATGAACAGAACCTTTATCCTGGCTGTACATAAAACATTTAAGAGCTGCAATGAAATTGGGTGTCTCGTAAAGACCGCGTCCCCTCGTCTCCATCTGTGGTGCAGTAATTACAGCCTTTCAGTACAACTGTGCTTACATCACAGAGACTTCTTCCCTGCAGAAGTCTGGCTGCCATGTTCACAGGGTTAGAAACTGTCCGCTTCATGTGAACCTTGTGTTAATCTTGTGCTGTGATGCCTTCTCTCCCCCGGCTGGAAGAGTCCGGCCGGGCCGGCGTCTCCTGACAAAACAAAGCCCAAGCCCAAAGGAGTGAGGATCTCCATGGCGGTAAGACTGTCTGCCGCCTAGAGACTGTTGCTAAGTAACTGTTGCCTTGCAACGTGCGCATAGTAAGTGCTGGAGCAAAAATATTTGTGGTGCTCAAACCAAAAGCATCAGAGTGGCTTTTTGCAGAGAGACAGAGAGAGAGAGAGAGTGTGAGATTGGTCAAGATGCTCGTGCTTTCAGATGTTTTCACTCTGAACTTGTTCAGTGTGACTGTGCATTTTTTGACATATTTCTTCTCTTGCATTAATACAACTAGAATGGTTTTCACACCCCTTGATCTTTTCATTTTACAACCACAAACACAGCGCGTTTTCTTTGGGATTTTAAACTTGTACAACGCAGTGTGTGCAAATAAATGTCTGAAAGAAACCTCTCTTACAAAGATCAAATGCAATGCAACAAAGTGCATTTCAAAGTTGACTGAAAGGTAAAAAAGTGTTCCTTTGTTCGCCTTGCCTTGTCCCCACTAATGCAGGTGACATCATCGTGTCATGTGAATTTTTTTTTTTTTTTCTGTAGAAGCAGGGAGATTTACCAAAGTTGATGAGACAATGGATGGAAGTAAACCTTGAAGAACACTTGTTACAGGCTGCAAAGAACTTGAGACTCTCTTACAGCAGGATAACAATCCTAGAACCTTCAGCCAGAGCCACAATTAATTAGTTTGTAGATTTAAGAGTATTAAAGTGTTTGAGAGGCCCAGTCACAGAGACTCTCCATCCAAGCAGCCTGATCTGGAGATATCATGCTAAAAAAGAATGACTAAACAATGTAGTCTCTTGACCTGCAATACTGATAGACAAACCACAAAAGATTCGTGATGCAGCTACAGAGAAAGGTGCCTCTACGAGGTACTTACTCAGCAGGGCTGACTATTTAGAAATTATTTGATTCTTTGAGTTTGTCACATAGAATCCCAACAAAATACTTTAAGGTTTGCTGTTGTTTTATGACAAAATATGAAAATGTTATCACGGTGTGACGACGTCTGAAAAGGCACAGTAAAACACATTACATACTTTTTTTTCATCTGAAACTGAAACTTACACAAAACTGAAACTAAAACCAGCTGCTGCCTTGTAATGTGTTTTGATGTGTTTTTCCAAGTTATGCTGTTTTAAAGACATAAAAAAGAAAACACTGACTGTCTCACTCTTTTTGTATTTTTAGGAGTCTTCTGAGGTGGAAGACTGCATGACTCCCTCAGAGGTGAGACTTGAAAAGTCAGGTGGACTTCTGTAATTCATATATTTAAAACTGTTTTTTTTTTTTTTTTTAACTCTGGTTTCTATCACTCTGCAGATAGCTGAGTGGGAGGATCAGCAGCTTGATCAGCTGGTGGATTTCAAGAACTGCAAGATTGATCCCGCCCCCTTCCAGCTGGTGGAGCAAACGTCTCTGCACAAGGTACAGAAATAGCCAACAACCTTTAATACCATTTGATTTAAATTTAGCTGGCAGAACTGTAATTTAAATATCCAGAAGAGGGTTTACGTTTGAGACAAAGCCTGTAGAAATGGGTGCTCTGATTTCACCGAATGTTCATAACTTGAGCATGTCTCTAACTTGCTTCTAATGTCATTTCTATATGGTCGCTATATTTGCTCTGTCGTGCTTCAACAGTTTAAAGTTAGGAAAAAAAACAGTTAATTAGCCCATAAAAAAATGTATTCTGTGATAAATTATTCTAAACTATCCTGTCTCTGTAAGTGAAATTTGTAAAAAATCTCTTAATCAGTGGAAGTCTAAGTCTGCCTGATCTGACTCAGTGACCGTCTTGAAAGCCAAAAATACAATGCCGTCCAGTCCCTGCATGACAGTTCACACAGCCCAGATGCAAAATGCAAATGAGCCCCTTTCAAGTCTGTATTCAGGCCATGACCCACCTCTCCTCCTCGCCCACAGACTCACACTATCTTCTCTCTGCTGGGCCTGGGTCACGCCTACGTGACAAGCATGGGACGACTAGTTGGAGTGGTTTCTCTCAAAGAGGTGCGCATGTGATATTTAAAAAATATTTTTTTCACCCTCATTTGTTCGTTTTAAAAATAAATAATTGACAATTTTCTCTTTTATTTCTGTGCTCCCACTGGCTGTGCTTGCTTCCTACTTTCCCACTGCCTGCTTCTCGGTATTTGCAGCTGCGTAAGGCCATCGAGGGCTCGGTCACAGTGACTGGAGTGAAAGTGCGCCCTCCACTGGCCAGTTTCCGTGACAGTGGGAACAGCACAAGCGTATCTGAGGTAACAGAACTACACAAGCTGTGCATGCGTCACAGAGGGCTGTCCTTGCCACGGGAACCTAAGCCTCCGAACGCGGCGAAAAAGCTGGACCTTTCGTTCAAAGACGTCCCCGTCAGCTTTTCAGACAAGACTGATTTGCAGTTTGAGAACAGTGATAACCAGTTGTCAGAGCTCGTCCTTCAAGAAAGCCCCTCATTCACCGAGGACCAATCAGAGTTTACTTTTGACTGTAGCCCCTCTCACACTGAGGAGTCAGAGCTGGTCTGTGACCATGACCCCGCCGACCCCACGCCAGCGCCGGACGAGGTGGAACAAGAGCACAGGAGTCCGACTCTAAACACGGACCAATCAGAACCTGGGGGAGAGGGTAGCACTGTCCACATCAAGGACCAGTCAGAATGCTAACCTAAAGCTTATCTATACTGTCGCCTCATAAATGTATCTGTTTCTTAAATTTGCATCAGTCCAGCCTAGAAACTTGTGTTTATAACCCAGTGATGTGAGCCAATGTCTGTTGATAGGAGAGGGTCGGTTTTATTTTATTTTATTTTTTTTAACCATCAACAGATCTTTTATGAAAGACCAAATATTTCTATATTTTCAACAATGTCCACATCACAGTTTGTTTATCGTTGTAAAACAAGGATGGTCCCAGACATATGTCACAGAAAGCCTCCTTTCCCCTCGTGTGCTGCTGATAAAGTTTGTTAATGAGAAACAGGAGATGAGAACATGTGAAGTCAGAAAGCTTAAAGCACAAGACTCACAAATCACAGCTGAACAGCGAAAGTGAATTTTGCTGACCAAATCACATTGTAGAAAAAAAAAAACATCAGCAACTTGGCCTCAACAGGCTAGAAGACTGCTCTAACTAAAAATAGGTGTGAAGTGTCTATTTAGGAGTATTTGCATTGTTGCAGGGGAGCAGTGTTGAGTTGGTAGGGAAACTCAACAAGGACTGGTTGGTGCCTAGATTGGCTCTTGATATTAATGAGAGTTCCTCCTGAAGTAGCCAGTTACTTGTGAGACTAACAAACCCCTGATCACAAAAAGATCCTCCACATCACAGTTTGGGTAAAACGGATATCTGTTTTATGATTATACTAAAGATTTCTGGCGTAATCTTTTGCTAACGTAATTGGCTTGAGTCATGTGATTATTCTTACATTATTATTTGTCACATCACAATTACACACTTCAATGTATTTTATTGGGATTTTAAGAGGAAAGAGAATAAATACTTTTTGAAAAATTATTTATGAATGAAATGTTTAAAATGTGACATCTGCCCATTTTGGTGCTATACACTAGCTTTGCATATAAATCAGAAAGATACGTTTCACTCTAATTTGACCAGAGGCCCTACTTGCTTCCAATGGTGGCAATTTAAAACTGCAAACAACATTTGTTGGATTTTTTTTCTACTAACAATTGTTTTTTTCCCTGAGGCATTTGCAGCATAGCTGTGTGTTTAAAATAAATGAAACACGCCTGGACTCTTATTTGGTCACACATAATTTTATTTAAAGGAATGGGTTGATTAGACCACACACATTTTCATATTGTTATATCTTTTCCCTTTCAGTTCACAATCATATGTTACTTTATACCAGTGTCTTAAAATCCCATTAAAATCTATTAATGTATGTGGTTGTGACAAACAAAAAGTGTTAATAGTGACTGATCAGAGTGAATGTGTCCTATTTTATGAAGACATAAATAAAAAATGTGTTTGGTTCTTTTCTGGTCTAAAAATCCGGTAAATACAACATCAGGTGAGAAACGGCTCATAGCACATTACACATTGTCAGAACTCTGAACCTCTGTGTGAAAAATATATCCACCATCATTTAGTGAGCACTAAGTTTAACAGTACCTTTACAGTAATTGCACTTTCTGTGACTCACATTCATTAAAAATTGCAGGCAGTTTTTCATGCTCAGCTTCCAGAGCATTTTGTTCAGGTCGACGCCTGAAATTACTGAATACTATTTTACATTTTACACAGTGTGCTAAGATTTTGGTGCAGCTTTCAGATGTAGATTTTCAAGAATCAGTGTTCTATGAGGAGAAATATTAACTCTGTGACTGATAGAATCATATACTTTAACTTAGTATATGGTTGCATTATGGTTATTTGCCCAGGGAGGTATTGTCTGGGGCGTGTCATTCGCCTGTGGTTCTGGGCTAAACAAGTCCACTCATCCCTCCTCCAACACTGTGAAGTGTTTGGTGAGCTTGCTTGATTTTTACTGACGATGGCTTTTGCATTATAGCAAAACATCAGTGGCCTTATTAATGCATTGTTCCATAAGTATTGTGGTTTGTTTAAATGTAGGAATCACAAGAGGTTGTCTCATTGTGAATTGTTTAAGCGACATTTATTTATTTATTTTACAAAATCTATTTGTCAATTTGTTTGTGTTAATATTCAACACAAGAATACTCACAACCTGCAACTCCTGCTTTAATCGGACGGCCGCCTTTACTATTTTTCAGGTAATCTGGGACATTTGATAAGAACCAATTTTCCTGTCACTCATCATTTGTGTTTATATAAAGCTGCACTATTTTTCCTGGTTTCTCACACAGTGTTTCTGCATTTAAGATTTGTAGATATTAATTTATGACATTATGAGATGTTATGAGCCGTTACATTTGAGCTGGGGCTATTCACCAAATTTAAAAACCTGTTAAAGACTAAGCTATGCTTTATTATGTCCTCCTAAAACAAAAAACATTAGATAATGTTCACACCATTTTTAGGAAATGTCACTTAATTAATAATATGTGATAAATGTACAGACAAAATTGAGCATATATTAAGCATCCATGGCTACTATAGTTGCATCTGTTCCACGATTATCTAATTTTAGAGTATTTTGTTGTTTAAGTCTTTCAAAGGGGATTTGTTGACATTAAGGTACAACACCAGCTCTACAATTCTATGTTTGTGTGTGTGTGTGTGTGTGTGTGTGTGTGTGTGTATGTGTGAGCAACCAAAAACTTTCCATAATTAAATCTGGTCCAGTCTCCTACGTTTAATTCGCCAAAACAAGATCCTGTTGTACAACAACAAGTACATGAAACTATTGACTCCTGTGCAAATAATGTTGGCTGAAAACTGAAAGGAGCAAATAATACTGAAAGCACAGAATGACAAGGGAATTACTGACATAAGCACATGATGGTATTGATCCAAACTACCTATGTAAGAGCAATGCACAAATCTAAGAGTCTCTGTCGACAAATCATAAGATGTGCTGTTGGTTTATGTGTCAAATGAAATGCAATACATTCAAGTTATTAATAAAGCAAAGGGAAATTGCAGACTGCATTATTTAAGGTATATTGTCATCAGTATTGGTCTTTCTTTTGATATCAAATGCTGGTCAAAGAATCAACCCCCAAAAATGTATTTCTGGTTGGTTCAGATGATGACAAAGGCAGCTTCCAGAGATCCCTGCAGCTGGACACAGAGCTCCAACTTAGCAGTAAAGCACATTGTAATTACCATCTAACACCAGTCACTGTTAGAGCCTTGTTCGGCTTTACAGCGGCTGACTCCGAAAGGACGACATAGAGAGTCTGTTTCATCATTCGAACATCTTCTGTATGTGAGTTTAAAGTGCATGACTAATGAGGGGCCTAGTTGCAAAATTTACAGGCTGATGTACAGAGCACACACACAAACACTGACAAACGCTCCTCGGTGTGTGGTCTGTGGGTATTTACCGTCTCTTTATAACAGAGTACATTCAATCCAGCCTGAGCTCTAAAGGAGCTGTTTAACCGCTGTACAAAGCCTGAAAAGCTCTGTGAATACTGCTGATGGATTTCTTTTAGCTTCAACTCTTTTTCTTTTATTTGTGAATTGGCTGTAGGAGGCATGGGCCAGTATGAGAATTTCCTTTTTTGCCCTGAGTAAAAAATTTATTGGTTTTAACAATGCGAACAAAAATTTTTTCACACAGCAATATTATCTAAATGTGTTTACGACCATTAACTCTCCTGCTGCTACCTATCCAGACAGACCACTGAGGTTATAAAAGTCAGTGTTGTTTGGATATTTATGCATAAACTGAAGAATAAACCCCTGCTGAATTTAATAAGTTTTCATCAATTATTATGGAAACTAAGTCTTGACGTCTTTTTTTTTTTTTTTACTTCAGACCAACACTGGAAAACTAACAAACTGATTAATTAGTCAGGTAGCAGACAGCTACATGAGGCGTCTGCTCAGGTAGCCATTCTGCTTTACTACTGGCTAACAAAAATACGGCTCTTTGTTTGTCAGCTGTAGATTCAAAATTAGATCCTTAATGAAAGCAGCAGATATTCATTAAATTACCACCCAAAGACATTTTATGTTCATCACAACCAAAGAAAATTCATCTGAATTTGTTTTGTATTAGTAATTTGACAAATTAGAATGTGTGAATGATATTTTCTTATTCTTAAATGATTTTTGACTTACTGCTAATGAAAACTTTCAAATAATTCTCAGAAAACGAAAGTATTATATAGGACCAAAAAAAAAAGAGTACGGTAACATTTTCAATTGTAGAGACATCATTCTAATAAAAAGTGAGTCCATACAGTGCATGTACTCGATATTTCAGTGTTTCTACCTTTTGCATGAAAAATTGCAGTCAGTGGCGGCAATCAGCTGCTGCTGTGGTGTTAAGACACCCAGGTTGTTTTAATAGACTCCAGGTCATCTATGTCGGGTCTGGTGTCTCTCATCTTCCTTCTGACAATCCCCTAAGGGGTTTTGTTTGCTGGCCAATCAAGCACAATGACACCGTAATCACTAAGGCAGCTATTGGTACTTTTGGCATTGTGGGCAGGTGCCAAGTCCTGCTGGAAAGTAAACATCAGCATCTTTATAAAGCCTATCAGCAGTGAGAAGCATGAAGTGCTTTAGGATTCCCTGATATCTGAACTGCACAGAGGTAAACTTTTTTCTTACACTCTTGTTTCCATTAACATGTTTGGATACTGTAAGCGAGCAGAAATGGCATTTGGTGACTCACCCTTCTTCATGTTACCGCGGCCGTCAGCCACTGTCTATTGACTGGATTCTGTTCAGCAATCTCCCCTGCAGTTGTGGAGGCCAAAGCAACATTTCTGTATAAGTCTTAACTGTAACATTTAAATAATTTCATTAGCTGTAAGTGATATCTGTTCAAATTCACACAAAGTTGTATTTCCTAGATCTAAAGGAGACATGAAATTATACCTTTTGAATAGAATTGGGGAAATTGACTTTTTAATGCCATTTTATCTTATTGCGATACACCCCTAAGGGAGAGAAATATTTAGTAGCCTTCTTCTGAGCAGCTGAACAAGAGTGTGCAGCAACAGGTGGGGTTGGAGTGCATTATTCTAAAAGCCATGGAGCTGGAGGAACACAAGCATTCCTGCATTTTCTCTGACATCTTATTCAAAATAATCCAAATCTTGAGAATGATCAGATGTGAAATTACCACATCTTTATGTACCTTGATACCAGTTACTGGCCCTTGCCTAAGCTGCAGCAAATCAGATGTTTTTTTTTTTTCTCTATACAATAAATGTCTATCACTTTTTGGGTGCATATGGAACATTCAGTAATGCTTGCATTATGAGGTAATGTATAAGGAATTAATAGTAGAGAGCATCTGAGCTAATTTGCAGCGTATCTAGTTAAGCAATAAGTCTGTAGTATGTCCCTTTATATGACACTGGCCTGTATATGCTTTGTACATACAGAAATACACAGATGAGGAAAATCTATATGCTGATGTACAAAGGAGGATTGTGCATTTTGAACTCAACTACCATTGTTATTTTTCAGAGAACATGGAATTGTTTTTGTACATGAACGAATAAATTTAAAGAAAAAAAAGTGCAAAACAAAACTCTGATAATTTGATTCCTTCTTTTATTCTCCAATATTTTGTTTTCACTATGACTGAAAAAGAAAGAACCACGAGTGAATCTTGTTTCAAAAATCATATTTATATGCTGTATGCAGGACACTCATGCTTTCCATATCAAAACCATGTGACAGGATGAGCTCGAAAATAAACCACACTACAAAACATCCATAGAAAAAAAACAACAAATGACCAGCACATGACTCTTCACAAAAATATACAAAACTCAGTTTGAACAACAGCTTTACATCCTGATTAAACTCTCCAACACGTCCACTGTTCACAGCAGCAATAACCTGTGGGAGATCAGTAAAAGGCCTGGAGGGGTGACGGATGAAAGGCTTCCAGAGGAGGTGAGATGGGGTGAAGAGGGGAGGAGATGAGAGGAGGTTCACAATGTTATCGGACTAGATCTATGTCGTATCGGAATCAACATCGACTCAGAAAGACATAAACATGGACGATACATCACATCAAATACTCCTTCTTCTTCTCCTCCTCCTCTACTTCCTCCACCTCTTTTTTGTTCTCCTTCTCCTCCTCCGCCTCTTCCTTCTCCTCCTCTTCGTCGAAAGACGCCACTCCGGAAGACCCCCGGTCAGAGAAGAAGCCTCTGGGGCTGCAGTGCCACACTCGCACCTCGTGAAACACGCTGCCTTCCTCCTCCTCGTCTTCCTCGTCCTCCTCTCCAGGGGACTCGGAGTGAGAGGTGGAGTAGCAGGAGTCGAACCTGCTGCTCCGGTTCCGGGGCCGCCACTCCGGCTTGCTGTGGACGCAGACCTCGCCACGCTGCTCCTGCAAGGGAATCAGCTGCTCCACCAGATCATCCAGCCGTTCTTCCTCTTCCTCTTCCTCTTCCTCCAGGAATGGACACATGCAGTCGCTATGCGAAGAGGGCAAGCCGCTCTGTAGGTCTTGATCAGTTGGAGGCCTGTCTTCTAAAGGGCCGCCGCTGCTGACAGAGCCTACGAGATGAACAGACTGTGGCACCTCGACGCCTTGGGTCTCAGGTTGGCATGGTACTCCGCTGGTTGGTTCAGACATGGCGGCGCCTGAGAGAGGAACAGACAGTCAGAACTTCTGGACATGGGTGAAATGAATTATGGGGGAAGAAAACAGGAAGGCGAGCGCCTTGTCAGCAGTGATGAATGAAAACAGCTTCGTGTGAAGATGGATACCTGGATTCTCTGTGGATAAATTACAACTCTGTCCGTTGGTGTGGGATTCTTCATCATTGAAGTCTTCCTCATCCTCCTCATCATCATCATCCAGCGATGCCCAGGCACGCAGCTTGGCCTCGGCAATTGCAAACTGCTCAGCCACTCCTGGCAGGAAAACAGGCTTATCTTAGTTAGACGTTGTGAGCGCAACACCACCGAGGTTCATCAGGTCACGACTCCTCCGGGTTCAAATCTAATTAAAGCCTCCTGCATTTCCAGGAGAATTATGAAATCTGATGATGTCTGACAACAAATCTTTTACATCAGTTTGGAGGAATGTTGACCCACTTCTTTTTGCGAAATTGGTTAAAATTGGTTAAAGTTGTTTGATTGGGTAAAGTTTAAGTTATAGGACTCATTCACTCACAAACCACGTGCCGCTACTTTTAACTTTATAACAATCCAGATTGCTCCATAAAACAACTAGTCTAACGTCTAAGACTAGTTGAACCAAAAAATATAATAACCTAAACCGTAATTTCTGCTTTCTTTTTCCTAGTAATTTGTTGCTTCTACATGTAGGTCCTAGATCTAATAAAGAAGGTAGAAAAGGTCTAAAAAATGCTTAACGTCGGTTATCAATAAGGAATAGCAAAGGCACCCTTTTATTTATCTTTACGCAGTTTTGTTTGAATCAAAGGCAAGATCAACACTTATCACTCTTAATCAGAGGAGTTCTTGGTTATGGCTTCAAAAATATCAATACATTCTGTTTGAAATTCCCCTCAGATACCTCGGAAGTGGCTCAGACGCAATCAGCTGCCTGTAAGAGGGGAAACAATAGCTGTTCCTATTTGAAACGCTCCCGGTGAGGCAACCTTTTGGCATTTTGCTGCGTTAATTAGGCTATCAAGACGAAGAGATTTCATAATGCGCGTGATGTACGCCGGGCTTCGTCTGCTCCCTGCTTTCCTCCCCCTCAAATTATCTCCTCATCAAGCTGCAGCGATGTCACCAGCGCCAGAAAGGATGAGTCACGGCAAAAACAACAAGCGCTGCTGTGCCGTCGGTGGGCAGCGAAGTGTTCTGAGAGAGTGTCTAATAGGGCCACCATCTGCTGTCAAGACAAACCGGTGGCCAGGGTGGCCGGCGGCTGGGCGGGGCCTTTCGCATGGAGACAGAGGAGTTTTGAAGGGATTAGTCTCATGACAGCAGGTGGACGCCGGTCACGAGATGATGCTGTAGTTAAACCATGCTAAGTAAAGTATGCATGTTTACCCAAACAGACATGTGACTGTAACTAGCAGTAATCCCAACTGCGAAAACAGGATTTAAATTGTGAAAGTTTCTGCGGGGGCGAGAAAGGAGAAAAGGGTTGAATACCTGCAGCAAACCTCGCCTCCTTCTCCCCTTCGCTCAGACGGCAGTAAGAGTTGAACTGGGTTTGAGTGCCTGGTGGAGGACCTGTAGGCTTCGGCCAGCCTTTCCACTCTATGAGGTGGGCGACCCGGCCCTGGGCCAGGGAGGTGGGCTTCGTCACATGGTCCCTCACCGCCTGAGAGATGCCTGGATCCAACAAAGGTGTAAAGGTCGGCGGCTGATCTTTAAATTTACCATTTCAGGACAGCTGTTGGATGATTTAGCTTACCATTCAACGAAGATCTGGCGAGTGCTGCAAATTCATGGATGCCGACTGTTTTCCTGGAGTCTGCCGGAGATTTTCCCGACTTTGGAATCATTTCACTCTCTTCAAATTTCACCTGCAAAAAAGAAACATGACATTTCATCAAAGGGTGCCTCGAGTTCTTCGCATCTGCGCATGAAATTCAGCAGCTGTTTCATCTTCCTACAAACAGCTTACATTCCCCAGCATACCCAATGCTGAAGATTTCATGATCCAGCATACGAATAATATAAACGCCTGAAAAAAAACACAAAAAAAAAACTTCAGTGTGAAGTTCTCCTACCTCTTCCACTCTTTGCCTCTCCATTCTTTCGCTACTCCTGATGCTTGGCGTCATTGCGGGCACACAGAGATGGTTTCAGGGCATCATAAACCCACCCAACTAAACATTACCGCTCCGCTTTGCTGGTTTAAACCACCAGTCAGGCAAGCAGACAGCAATGCCCTAAATTTGCTGCACAGATGCTGCTAAAGCCACAGTAAGCCGGTGAAACCCGGTCCGAGTGGTCAGGGGGCTGGGGCAGCAGTCTCTATTTGACTGAGGAGACATATGGCGTGTGGGTAAAGCGGTTGCAGCCGAACGCGCTTACCGCAGAGCTGCTGATTGAAACCGATACTGCCACCTAATAAACTCTGTGCCCTCAAAAGGCAAACTCACATGACCAACTGGATCAGTTGGACAAGACAGATTCAAAACATGTCCCGTTTCTGGGACTTTTAACAAGCCAGAGACGCATAGCCCGAGCAAACATGCATGACTTAACAGATATTGTTAAGCAGATTGGCTCCTAAAGCAGCTAAGAAGGAAAAATCTTCCTGGCGGTGGTGAAAGGCTTACACTGAAGTGAAGCATGACAGGAAATGCGAGCAAACGGGCAGGCGGGGAACTCGGGAGGAAGTGATATGAAGATGGAAACTGTTTTCTGCAGCTCAGGTGACAGTCAACACTCCCCAGAGGAGAACTTCAACCTGGAAAACACACTCGTGAGATGACACTCATGCTGAACGCTGACAAACACACGGGGGCGTGGAGCTCCGAAAAGCTCCCTGCTGAGATTCAGACTCACAGATTTCAGCACTGTGGACAGCGCGACATTTCAGAGGGGATTGTTGTAGGTCACATGAAATTAAGCTGCATTCGCATTGCATTTGTATGGTTCTTACATATTTCGTTGGATTTACCTTTACTTATTTCACTTATTTGTACATTTAAATTTGTTACATTTTCACTTGAGGAAATCTTTGCAACTAGAACATTAAAGTGAGTGTTTTATTATTAAAAATGTGAAATAAAAGAACCATTAGGGCCTGCTTTGTCTAACTCCAGACTCTAAAAACCTAGTACTCCCTGCTTTCTAATCATTATCTTTAAATCACAAATAACAAACAGAAGAAAGATTGGTAAGCAGCTGCACTGAGATTGTGTACTTGAGATTTGAATACAAGGTCCTCTCGCTGTTTGGTTTTAGAGCAACCTGTATGTGTGACTTGCTTTAATCCTTTAATCCCACTGGCCCAGCAGACCAATCAGGTCTTCTGCAAAAAGTTTCTGTTGGTACCTAAAGTTAAAACTAATTGTGTTATTATTGTTACCTGAGAGCTGTCCAGACTGGTGTTTTTTCTTAAAAAGCAAATTAAAAAATGTTCTTATTAACTTTCATGCAAGTTCTTTTTATGACATTTTTAATTCAATTCTTTAAATTACAGCATATTTCATCACAAAAGAAATGGACCTTTTATTATTTATATGAATTAATTAGACTTACACTGAGTTTAAAATTTCTTCCCAGCCGTTCGAAGAGTGCTGCTATTTTATCGACACTGCATAGGATTTCATTGTGATGGTTGATTTAAAGCTCCTTGTTTTCATGGTGTTGGGTAGAAAAGCACCCAGTCAGGTTTATTAGGAATTGTGCAGTAGATGAGAGCAACCAGAGAGACAGAACCGCTCAGTCAAATTGTCAGTTCTGTCTGCCACAGTTCAAAGCATATTTGTATTTTAGACATAAGAAGTGAAGTGATATTAACGAGACAAACTGCGAGAACCTGCTTCTCAACAGGGCTGTTGTGAGGGCAGACATAACGACTTCAAAAACCCAGAGATGAGCAGGAAGCTGGAGAAACGTGACTCGCATTATTTAGCAGAAACCGAGCTTCACTCTTAATTTGAAGATTCGTCTACGTGGATTCTTAAGCGTGCGGTACAAAACAAATCATCACGAAGATTGAGATTTTACAGAACAATGCTACTCTGAAGTTCTGATAGAAATGTTCTCGAGATAAGAAGTTCCTCGGAAGAGGACGCAATGTTTGAGTGCAGGCACCTGGAGAATCTACACATAATGAAGAAACAAAAAAAACACATGAAGTTTATGATTTCTAGTGATATATTTATTAATTATGGAAAATCAGTTCATATGTTTAATGTTTTTTAAACTATTTTACTGGCATACAGATAGGAGCATGCTCCCATAGAGTGGCAGCCAGTGCAGTTAGCGAGAGGTTGATGAATCCCAGGTGAAGCTCAGCTCACTGCTGCCTCACCTGCTGCGCTTCCAAGCGTTTCAATGGAACACTGTGAAAATTCTGTGACTTTGAGGGAAAAATAAGCAAAACCGGTTAAGCTAAATGAAAGATAAATACTTTATAGAACAAACCACAGGGTGAAAATAGCAACATAAATGATTTTATCATTACATATTATGTTTCCATAATGACAGGTGAGGCTCTGCCACACACTGTGTCTGGGCATCACTCTGTTAGCTGATCGACTATTGCAACCATCAAATTGTACTGTTTGGGTCCAGGGAACCATAAATGAGGGGCCCCATCAAATTCTTACATCCGGCCCTGCACTTGATTTCAATCAAACGTTATTGAATGGTGAAAAAAGTACGTGAAAACCAATGCTATTTTTTTTTCAGTGGGGAGAAATAAAATTAAACATCTCACACCTGCATAATGCATTCATGCTGTGGAGTCTCTTTTGAATCCTCGCACTGCAGGTTGCCAGCTCTTTGCGCCTGATAAAAGGAGCTAATTAAAGCCAAACAAACCAGATTTGTGGCAGTGACTGCAGCTGGGAGGCTTAGGAGGTTTTCTGGATTATTTCTCCCTGCCCATCTTAAACACGCATGCGGGTCCTCTAAGACAACAGCTGTCTCGTCTGGCACCTCTGGACACTGTGATCTTGACTTATATGACCAACAAGTGGAAGTCGCTCCGCCCGCAGCTCTGTGTGAATGAAGCGAGGCTACAGTGCAGAAGCCACACTTGTTGGGGTGTGTGTGTGTATTCTTGTTTTGTTTGTTTTTTTTTTCCTCTGGAAATGGTGCATTCAGGCAGCAGAAGCGATACGCTCACAGCTGAATTACGCACCAGTCCGCCATTGATGAGCGCAAGTCTTCATGACCGAGTGGGAATAAAAAGAGAGAGAGAGAAAGAGAGAGGCGCCAATGGAAATAGCAGCCGATGTGTTGAAGCCTCTGAAGTCTCAATCTGCATACCAATATCTTTGTACCTGCACCAGATAAACAAGCCCTGCTTCTCAACCACGCTGCTTCTCGTTCCCATCACAGTCGCTCTCCTTGCGTCTTTTCTCGGCCACCTACCTGGAAGTGGGACCGCGGCTCATGGCTCTTGCGCTTAATCGTCTCCCAATCCGATCAACAGATGACACCGCGGGGGTTTGTCCTCGGAGCCGCGGGGCTCTGCGGCTGAGCGGCGACGCTACAGTGACGGCCGAGACATCTCCGGAACTCCCGGTCCGCGAGCTGCACTACATCTCCTACTCACGCGCACCATTTGTCGGCGTGTATATGGGTTACATATAGGCTGAAGGCTGTCCAAATGCCTCCCGACGGCGAGCGTCATCAAAGCAAGGCGGCGTCGTCGCCCCCCTTCACCCTCCTCTCCTCTTTTCCTTTCCTCTTTTTCTCTCCGTGCTGCCAAGAAGCTCCAGCAACCTGCAGATTCAGTCCAAGAATCACTGCAACACGCTGCTGGTTAGTCGTTCCATCAGAGGGCTTCAGAGATTTGCAGTCGCACAGTAAACAACTAAACAAGTGAAAATAAAAGACGCAGGATGGAGCACTTCGATGGAAATTTACTGACCGCCAGAAAGGTCAGTAAGTTACAAACACTGGCTCTGTTTGAATGAGCGTCTGTGCAAAGAAGATGCAACAGAGCATATGGAAACATTTGATCTTTGTTGCTCACCAGAGCTTATCTACTAATGCCCAGATAAGCTTTAAATAAACGATGATTCATGCTCGGAGGTGGGATCCTTGAAAGGGTCATTTGAGACACATATGGGTCAATCTGCATTCTTATTACAATGGCTTAAAAAGATGAGCTGCACTCTCAAATTCTCCAATTGTTCAAAAATAAACTGCACATCAGTCCCGTTATCACTTTAGTCATAATAAAAATCACTGCTTTATATATCTATGTGCATTTTGTCATTTCAGTTTATCTTTATAATCAAATGGAATAAATCAAAGTCCCCCCAAAAAAAAAGCAAGAAAAAAATGAACAATGAACCAACTCTGGAGCCGCTCAGCTTTCCCTCCCTTGACTTCAAATGGCCTGCTGGATTTAATTAGACATTTTCAAAGTATTGAGCTGGTCTCTCAACATTCATAGATGCTGTCCTCCTGTTTGGTAGGACTGATCACATTTTCAGTCATGGAGAAGCAGAGTATATGACACAGATGAATGGTTTTGGTATGCCGGTGATGTTTGGTCCCATTAAGATCTTATAGCTTAACCGAGGTTGTTTCTGAGTATATAGCAGGCTGTGGGGATTGCAGGTTTGATGAAGATGCATATTACATATTATGGTTGATTAAAACAACCATAAAGTAGGGGTGCTGTGGCGGCGCACAACCCATGTACGGAGAGGCCTTAGTCCTGGATGCAGACGTCACAGGTTCGTCCTTTTTGACCTTTGACTCGAGTCTTCTCATTACCCTTCCTGTCTGCCAGTCCATTGCAGGACTCACAGGAGACAGTGCTCAGAAAATCAGCATGTATTGATTAAAAAATTTGGCAAGAGGAAAACCAAAGAAATGAAGAAAATAATTGAAATGGACCAGAGAAAAGATAAAATGACAAAGACTTGGTAACTGATCAGCTCCACAGGGACAGGTCTACATTTGCCAGTCATACTTCAATAAGTGCCTTTGTGAAGCCAAGTTATCAGCAAAAGAAATAAAAATTACAGAAGCGGTTACAATTTGCCACCCAAATCGTTAACTCGTTCAAATAAAAACTGTAAAACATTTAATAGGCTGATGAGAGGAAGATTTTTTTTCTTTTGGCGTTTGTTGGGGTTGAGTGTGACATCACTCCCGAACATTGAATTTAATCTTCAAAGCACAAACAATGGAAATGTCCTGGTATTTTTCCCTTTTTCCCCCCCATCAAGACGCCTTTGAACCTACACACGTGACATGGAGGCACTTGGGTTCAGGACCAACAAGATTAACGTCCAGATTACTGGACATTAATTGAAAATCTAGTTCTAGTAAGATCACCCCACTAGAAAAAAAACAGGAAGTGTCAAAGAATTGTGGATTTGACTAATGGAGAACTAGTTCTCTGTTGGCGATAGCTGCTCAGGCCGATGCAAAACAAATGTGAAGCAGCTTTCATAAGTACTTCCAATAATGGGATAAGCTCTACCCATAAGATTATATGAATCCTTACATTGCAACAGTAATTCAAAATACCACAGCCTCATGAATATTTGGTTAAAAATATGAACTTTTAACGATGTTATTGGAAGAGATGAAAGAAGCTGTTAACCAGACCCAGGAGAAGTGGTCAAGATTTCACAGCCACATCAGATTTAGGAAGCAGACCTGGTGACCGCTTCCTGCTGTAGAGTTTAATGTCGCCTGGTAAAGAAAAAATGAAAATAAAACAATCCTCTCAGTCAGTTGATAAACATTCAGACACATTTCAAGACAAACTCTGCACAGCAACTTAATAAGTCTTTTATTGTAATGTTTCTGTCACCTCATCTTTCCAGTTTCCGATGCAAAAAGAAGCAATCATTTCTTAAATAAAGAAAGCAAAACAAAAATATTTACAAAATTCAAATAAAACTAATAATCATTGAATTATCTAAAGCACCTCTCTGCATCTGGACAACTGTGGTTTCTGCTGGAAAAGGAGACACTGCAATTACATCAGAAATTCATAGGTTCTGAAAAATAAAACAGGAAAAAAAAAAAGTTCATCATCATTATATATTTACAGAAAGGTCCTGAAATGAGTTTCCACTTAAAGTAGAAAAGGCTTTCGGATCACTTCTGTGTTTTTTTGTTTTATTTTTTTATTTTCATTTTTTCCCCTCCCCCTTTGTATACATTTAATTTCATCAAGTCGTTTTTTTTTTTTTGTTTTTTTTTTTTTTTTTCCTTTTTTTTTCTGCAGATTTCAAGTTTCTAACGGTGATTGGGTCGATAGGTGTCAGGTTAAAGTACAGAAGAGGTAAAGATGAAGAGTCAGTCAGTGTGGTTCACTACCGGGGATGGGAAAGGATGGCTTAGAGGAAGCATTAAGACCAAACCCCCTGTAGTCAAAGTCGACATCGGTTCTCTGAAAGCTCATGATAGGAAACAGGAAGAGAGAAAATAGACAACCTTTGCATTAAAAACTCCCCATCTGTCAAATTCAGTTTCAAGTCCTCAATGTCAAACATTTTGTCCACTGAATTCTTAATTGAAGCACACTTCAGTCATGCTGCACACTCCAGCAAAGGACAGAGAGAGGACCTGTGAGTTAGATCCGTCCATGAGTCAGGGAACCCACCGCACCACACCCCCTGCGGTTGCTTTAGGCATAATCGTCTAGGAGAATGAAAAAGCAGCCAGTTGGTTTGTGTTACTGTGACAAAAAAAGAGAGGAAAAAAAAAAAACAGTTTTGTAGTGATGTGTGGATTCTCACACGTCATTAACAAGCAGTCCTGCTGAGTGTGTTTTCAAGTTTATTTCATGAGGACACTTGCTGTGTAAAGCAGGAGAGGAGGGAAGGGAGAAATGATTGTTTTCTGAGTTCATCTCTCAAACAAAACAAAAAGAAAAATAAAGATTTATCCTCACTGAGGATTGATTCGAGTCTGCCACTCTGGGCTAAATATATTGTCTACTACTCGTCGCAGTTTCCTGCTGAACCCTCCCCGCCGCCCCACGTCTTGATGAAAGCAGGATTACGATTCCTCAGTCCTTGTCGGACTCCTCTTCGGCGTTGCGGAGGAAGGTGAAGAAGCCGGTGACGGATTTCAAGGCTACGCCTTTGCCCGTTTGCTCTGCTGGATCTTTGCAGGACTCCCACTTGTAGAAGACCTCCTCGTCGATCACATCCTCGTCGTAAAGATTGTTGAAGAACATCAGCAGGAGGCCTGAAGAAACAGAGTGCAAAGGTCAGCGTCAACACTCGCACGGCAAAACAGTTAGCGCTTTCTCACCAGACTGCTGCAGGTGGATTGGAAAGCAAACGTTACGAGTAACGGCCACTTACTTTTTTCACTTTCATTGTTAGACACAAAAATGGAGAAAATATGCTCGTCTTTCTGCAGAATGTCGACTTAAAACGGTCAAAATAATCTAAATGACCATATTTATCGTCTGTATTCTTAAAGACGTTTCCCTGCAAATAAAAAAAAAAATGAAATAAAATCGTACTTGCAGGCTGCTCCATGTGCACCATGAGAGCCTGGAGGGCATAAAGGGCCTGAAGGGCTTTCTCCTCGTCACAGAGGTAACTCTGCAGCAGACTGGCTCTCTCTTTGATCTGCACCTCATCCACCTTGTACGGGTTTTCACCTAAATTGACAAAAAAAAACACAATCATGCATCTACTCACAACTGCTGCCATTCTAGAGTGTCTTCACTAAGAAGGCCAATATTGGACTGACAGAAATGTGCTCAAACGGCACCTTTGCACAGCGACTCGGTGCATTTAGACATCTAGATGTGATGGAAACTATTTTACATAAGATCCACTTACATATGATGGCAGACTGGCACACCGATGTCATCAATGCTCGGAGAAACTGGCTGGAGGCACACTGCTGCTCTTCGAGGTTGGCCTAAAGAAGAATCAAAATATATTATTGAAAAAATAATCACAGCTACTACAGAGCCAAAGCAGTGACCGTGATTTTTACATGATGGACAACACTGTTTGCCTTTATCTTCCTTTAGTATTATAGTAACACCTATTAATGAAAAATTTAAAAAGATATAGTTCCTGAACTATATTCTAAACCACACACCTCAATCCAGTCTCTGATTCGCTGGTTGTCGGCTTTCTCTTGAAGGAGTCGGTCCAGCTCTTTGCTGATTTCATCTCCACTGAGGATCTGCTTCCTTCCAGCTTCCTTTGACTCCGTCTCTTCTCCTGTGGTAAACTCCACTTTCTGAAATACACAACATGTGTAAACAAGCCTGAAAAAATGACGTTCTGCAACTTGGTGCTGGTTGTTTTCATCTTAGTTTGTTTACATTTTCTCCAAATGCAAATAGACCAACAGCTAAGCTGGCAATTCAACAAACAGAAGACATTAGCACTATTGAAGACGTAGCAGACATTTGGCTACACAGAAACTACACATATTGGACAATCAGACAAGAAGTGGCTTGTCATATCATAATAAGACATCTAAAATTTCATGCATACCTGATCTGTGACAAACTTGTTGACATCTTCATCCTTGGACAAGAACTCATTCCAATTTAGTCCAGCTTCTCTCCACAAAGACCCAACCTTCTCATGAGTCTAACAAGAGAACCAAATTGAAAACGGTTTCAGTCGAGTTCGGAAATATTTCAAAACACAAAGCCAGACTGTTTAACTGCAGGTCTCTGCTTTTAAGACTTGTGTATGTACCATTCCTTTGCAGAGCAACTTGATAATCTGTGCCAGCAGCAAGCCAGCCTTCCCCAGAGGCACAAGAGGCTTCGAGATCTCCCTGTAGACAGTGGCAATGTATCAGTATTTCAGCTTCCATAAGCTTGTAAACTGCAACAATATTTAATTATTCTGTGGGTTTGATAATAATACAGCATAAGGAAACTCAAGCAGGGAAAAAAAACCCTAAAGTTTAGTATGTTATGTTTTGATTTAAGATGTGTGATGAGGCCTCGGGCTGGAAAGATGTGACCTAGATTTCCATCTGATTAATCCTCTTTTATT